TGTGTGTGTGTGTGTGTGTGTGTGTGTGTGTGTGTGTGTGTGTGTGTACTCCCACGCAGCCCAGACACACACATGCCAAGCCGGTTCACACACAAAACACGGTCCTCACAGACAGGCAGCCACACCAAGCCCACCACAGACAGTACTGTAAAGCAACGAGAGCACACAACACAGAGCTGTGAGTTCAAAGCTTTCTACCTATGTCTAGAGAGAAACACATCATCTCTGTGCTCTCTGTGCATGGCAGCTAGGATGCTGTTGTTGTGGCTGTAAGAGGTAGTGGTTTTGAGTTCCCCCTCTGTGTGGAGTTGGGAGGAAACAGCTTTTGATGCCTCCCACTCAGTTTGGCTGCGGGCCTCGGCCTTTCTTTGTTTTCGGAGCCGCAGATCACAGATTCTCCTAGAGACTCATCCAGTAAAGAGCTTTTTATCTGCTCCTGATGTGACTGAAAACAGCTGCTTTCCTCTTTGAACCCTACTGTTGTGTAAAGGGTATTTGTAGCAATGATGTATCTCAATACAGATTGATTATGATACCTTTGTTTATTACCATGAAAACAGCCAGTAGCATCCATCTATCACGAGTAGTACTGGTGGTGCTAGTGTTGACAACTTGACTGGATGCTGAAAAAGCTCTATAAAGCCAATGCACACTTCCTTCTCAGCCCCATGATACACAGTCATCCTGTGTAGTGGTTCCATGCAGAGGGCTGACAATGGCCTCATTTCTCCGTGGTAATTAAACCTCTCACCACTAATGTTAGTCTTGTAGGGGTTCAGTGGTTTGTGTAACACCACCCTGCTGAGCTGCTGCTAATGTGATGTAACTAATGTGTGTCGTAGGCTACTTCAAGCTAGAGAGTCCTCTTCTGCAGCACTGTCGACAGCAGCACCGCAGGACGCAAGACAACGCGACCAGTGGACATACACAAGTAAATCATTCATTTTCCTGAAAATGTTCACGGCTACGACCAAACTGAGCTGTTCTGCCCCACACTACATGTAGACAGTAACACAATCAGAAAATCAGCTGAGCTAAGTTGATATTGGTTTCGTCACAAAACACACATAATTCCCCTTTTACGTTAAACATGAAACGACCTCAGATTAAGTTCCTCTCCTAAGTACTTTAGTGTCATTCTCTTCATCCGTACTACATGAAACAGAAGTCTATTTTTTTTAGTTTCTGACTCGCCTGACCTCACTCCTCTCCTCCATCACGCAGGGCGTACGGTCGGCTCTGGGTCGGCTTCACAAGGCCACAGAATACTCTTCATCCAGCGACGAGCTCGGCAGCAGTGACGACGAAGAGAGCAACAGGTGAGATCTTCGTCAGTGGCATTGTGCTTAAGACATTGTTCAAAATGTTCCTGATTTTAAATACACCATGCTTTTCACCCTCTTTCCTATTCATCCAACAAAACTGAAAACCACATTGGCAGGGACTAACGGTTGTGACAATGAATTGCGTCATTCTTAGTTTCACAGTTTTGAAACAAGGCCTGTTGCAAGATGCTTTGTACCAATTGTGAAACCAATATGATAAATCAGTGATAGAATTTGAGTAAAAGGGCGCTATGCTTACTGAGAATTCTGCCGCATCCACTGAGAACCAGGGCTACCGATGCTAAGCTACACCCAAAACACAAGCTAGAGAAGCTTTGCCCACGTTCAAATGCAACCTTAAAGTTCCCTCTCTTAATCCAGGATTTATTGGACCATCTTAACCTTGAAAATCAAGCTAAATCTGTCATGTGTTTACATTTCACATTTCCCATTACAGCTGATTGTGTTTTTACTGTGGAATCATGTCTGCTTATAATATAAGATTACAGTTATGATCCCAGGAAGTTGATCAGCCTGGTTTCCGTTGCCATCGATCTTGAAGTAATTAATGCAGTACCTGCAGTCAGGCTCTGGTCTATAATCTCCGCCTGTCCGTACGTTTCAAGGTCTGGCTTGTCCAATGGAAAGGGGAGATACTTCAGAGGAATACCCGATGGCATCGTGCTGCAACCTCACCACAATCTCAACCAGGTGCCCTGCGCACACACACACACACACACACACGTTACTCGCGGCTAGAGGGTGCAACATCCATACTGTTAGAGGGAGAGGACAACAGACCCCCCTCTCTTCATACTCTGTCCCTAACGGTGTCCTACAGATCTCTCGGAAAGGTTCAGAGGACACCTACCTGCTACCGGACCTCCTGCAGAAAACGTCTTCCTCCAACAGTCCTACCCACAATGCACTGGGCCAGCAGCAGCGAACACACGAGCTCAGCTACTCGCAGTTGCCCACAGCCCCTCGATCCCCCACACACCAGGAGCTGCATGTGAGTGTGATATTACCATGACATATTATTTTGATAATAGCAGGCTGTATAAAAAGCATTGTCCTCAGGTGCTTCACTCGAGGAATATGTGACTCGTTGCTTTAGTTACATTAGTCCAGCAGAGGGAGGTGGTGGCACAGTTTAGGTACACACGTACCACTTTCAGAACCCAGAGGGACTTGTAATGTTTAGAGAGTGGAGTAAAATAAAGATAAAGAGTTCATGGTGATGTTGCTATTAAGCTGTGAAAATGATTTTGTGATATTGGGTATGGAGCCAAAACCAAACAATAAAAAGTTGTGGAATAAAGAGTTTTTCTTTCTTTCTTGATGCACATCATCAGGCCGTCAGCAGTCCTACCGGTAAAAACACCTCCTCCTCTTCGTCCTTCCTGTCGTTCATCGATCCAAGACTGATCCCCATGTCATCGCCACCCCAGAGCCCTGGCAAGTACATTTACACACACACACACGCACACAGTTTACACACACTCACACAAGGAACATATTCATCTGTGAGGAAATAAAGGCACTCTTGTATACAATGAATTCTTCCTTTTTTTTTTTAATATAAAGTAGTTTACATGAGAGAGTCACGTGAGTTACACTGTGCATTGTTGACGTTGTGGTTTTGTCTGCACACAGTGGGCAGTAAAGGTGAGCAAATCAAGAGGGAAAACCACAGGAAGGGCTCTGTGGTGAACGTGAACCCAACCAATATCCGACCGCAGAGCGACACTCCAGAGATCCGCAAGTACAAGAAGAAGTTCAACACCGAGGTTCTCTGTGCTGGACTGTGGGGTTTGTAGTTTTATTTTGCTTGTTTTTTTGGAAGGCATGTCGTGTTGTTCACTGTGTGTCTTTTCATTTATTCTTCCAAGCAAACAAAATTTATTGTTTTCTGGACAAAGTCCTTTACCTGATACCATATATTCATTACAGTAGTTGGATGCATACACTGCAGGTTGGCTGTGGACTTTAAGCTCGGTGTCCGCTGTGTCCTGCAGGTGTGAATCTGCTGGTGGGGACAGAGAACGGCCTGTGGCTGCTGGATCGAAGCGGTCAGGGTAAAGTCTACTCCCTCATCAGCAGACGCAGGTTTCAGCAGATGGACGTGCTGGAAGGACTCAACGTACTGATCACTATATCAGGTACTCGTACTTCAAAATGCTGACACACAATGAATGCATGCACGCAGTACTCAGCGGTCATATACTGCCCTTTATATGAAAGCTGTAGCTGTAGAAGCACTTATCTCTCCCTCTGTGTCTGCAGGTAAAAAGAACAAGCTCCGTCTGTACTACCTGTCCTGGTTAAGGAATAAAATCCTCCACAACGACCCAGAGGTGGAGAAGAGACAGGGCTGGACCTCGGTAGGTGACCTGGAGGGCTGTGTACACTACAAAGTGGGTAAGTACACACTGCCAAGGGCACACTGAATGGTACAGTTTGATTTTTTTCCAAGCTGCAACCTAGAAAATACATGAACCACATGTATTGTTTTATTAGGCGTCTATGAGAGCCACACGTACAGAGTGAGAGTGATTAGGTAACGACTTCTTCTTCTTCCATCTGGTTTCTTCAGTGCGCTATGACAAGATAAAGTTCCTGGTGATAGCGTTGAAGAATGCTGTGGAGGTGTACGCCTGGGCCCCCAAACCCTACCACAAGTTCATGGCTTTCAAGGTCGGTAACGTTTAAATCAAATGTCACTTACTACGTATTAACATGCACGCTAATGTTCCACTATTGCCTCGAAATATGACAATATTCTGCATATTTGATATGCGTCATGTAAATGGCATGTTTTTATGCAGATGTTCAGAATTCGGCCTTATTCAGAATATAGCATTTTTCCGATGAAGACATGTGGGATATGCTGATTAAATTCAGGTTTGAGGAGCATGTATAGAGTGCATTCAGAATATGCGTCTCTGTTTGCAGAGATGCACGCTCTAAAGAAAAGCCCACATGTCTGGTCGGAAGGAGAAACACTTATTCATTTTCATCAGCCATGTAAACAGCTTCGTAGGATTATTGTCTTTTTCAGAATATGGACAGAAAGCTGAATATCTTGTGCATGTAAATGTAGCCAGTGTGACAGAATAGAGGAAAGACAACGTATACTGTGAATACCACGGTGTGAGTTTCACATCTTTGATCTTTTAGTCACATTAGCTGCAGGGCTTATAAGGGATGGAGATGTGGACCTGTTGGTCTGTCCTGTCCAACACTTTGGTCACCAGTGAAATATCTGAAATACTAGATGAATTGACATGGAATTCAGTCCCTCGAGGACAGATCCTAATCGAGCATATGGAGTTACATGCGAACCCCAACCTGCTCAGCTAGTGTCCTCATTAAAGGGTTAAACCACCACCAACAAGTTAGCAATACTCTCCTCCATTGTCTTTTCTGTCCTTGCCACATCTTTGCACATCTAGGACAAAACATTGATAAAAACATGTAATAGGGTCACTACCACAGCCAGACACATGCACATACACAGACCTGACACATCCTGGCTGTGAGAGGCACACACACACACACACACACACACACACACACATTCTCAGCAGAGCTGTGTCCCATTTCTGTTTATCCTTGGTGGCCTGAGCTGGTTTGTTCTTCCCCGTAGTTTAACCCTCTCCCCTCAGAAGAGGCCCAGAATACACCACCTAGTGGAAGTAATAGCTCCACTGTCCTAGGATGTGATGCAACTGCTCTTCAAATTGTTAAAGTCACTTGTTGATTACATATTAATGCAGCAGTTCCAGTTAGATTACTGGTCTTACACTTTATTTTCAGAATCAAAGGTTATGATTGGAATGTTTACTCAAAGTGCTCAGACCACCCTTACTAACTTGTTTTGGTGTGTGTGTGTGTGTGTGTGTGTGTGTACGTGTACATGTCTACCCCAGTCCTTCAGGTCCCTGCATCAGAAACCACTGTCTGTTGACCTGACGGTGGAGGAAGGTCAGAGGTTAAAGGTCATCTACGGCTCCTTGTCTGGTTTCCACGCCATCGATGTGGACTCTGGAACGCCGTACGACCTCTACCTGCCCACACATGTGAGAGGCTGCTCAATATGTCTGTCTGAAGAACACGTGTTCAGGGTTATTTGTATGTATAAAAGCTTTTTATGTGACTTTATGTTTCACTCTCAAACAGAGAAACGTACAATTGAAGTCTACTAGGGGTGTCGTGAAAACCATTTTTGGGGTTCAAAGAGGGCATGGGGTTCCACCATAGTGCAGGAGAGAGTCCTCACATTCTTCAATGATTACATGTGACCTTGTCTTGAAGTCGATGGGTTGTGTGAATGGGTTTTCCATTAGATGCCTGAAATAAGGTCTGAGGTTAACACAAGCGTAACAGATTTTAAGGTTGTGTTCTGCAATATAAAAACATTTTGAAGCTTTGACGCTTCTTAAGAAGGCGGTTGCTAACAAGTGGCTAAATGAATCTACACGTCATCAAGCAGACTGGTCTGCCTTTACAGCCTCGCTGTGTATATTCTTTCTCACGTTTGTTAGAGACGACTGCACTCTCGCTTTATAAATCTAAGAAGTGCTGTTCATTCGTGGAGATTATCTTGCTGAACAAAACGTGTATCATTGCAGCAGATCTCTTTTTACTGCAATATTCCATAATCGGAAGACTCCCATTGGCTTTTATTTAAGGGAACCAGTATTATTCTAAAATACGTCATCCCTGCAGCGTACTCCTTACGTCGCAGATCACAGTGACGTTGGTAACAGTGGTTGTGTCTCCACAACATACAGGCCGGCTCACTGTAGGCCATCTGTATTATTCTCTCACCCGTATGCACGCTTACACACACACACACACAGACGAAAAGAGATTGAGAGAACCTCCTCATCTTTACGAGCGTCAGTCGCCTCTCATAGATATTCAGCTGCTGGAGAAAGTGTATTTCTCTTGTGGCAGGTTGTGTCGGAGTATACAAATGTTACATCTTGTCACACGGAGAACCCTGTTGCGGCCAATCAGGCTTGAGCCACGATACGCCCGTGCATTAAAAACGATTGGTTGGGATGATGAGACAAGCTGTCGAACTTTCCTCGAGCCCCGCGCTCATTACACAAAAATAAGGAATAAATAAAGATTATCTTGGCAAAACGTTTCAGTTTTTTAATCTTAAACACCATAATAACATAATTAAATGGATCACGGGATTTTCTTTTTTCTCACCTGCCTCTCTGGGCCTCCGTAGAAAGCCGACATAGACAATAACTAGTGGATACTGTGACATTAGATATTTATAGATCATAGTGTATGGAGACCTCTGAGGTTGTCCATGATATAGATGGTATTCTCTCTATTATACCTCACTGTTACTTTGTCTTTCCATCATCGGCCGGGATCTCTCTATTCAACCGTATCACCTCACTCCACTCAGTCTCCCAGGATGCACTCTTCCTCCCACTCTTCCTCCCACTCGCAGTCTCTAGATGTCAGTCATTGCTCTCCTGTTTCCCTCTCTCCTCTCTCCTCCTCCCACTCATCCTATAGCTGTCAAACACTTCTCTTGTTCAGTCTCCTCCTCTTTTCCTTTTCCTCCCACTCTGTCGGCCAGTGCTCGTTTTTCTCCTCATTTTGATCTTCTCTCTCTCTCTCTCTCTCTCTCTCTCTCTCTCTCTCTCTCTCTCTCTCTCTCGCTGTCCTCTCTTCAATACGTCTTCTCCTTTTCTAGTCTCTCCATTACTCACAAATAATAAGCAAGTTTGTGAACACTTTGTGGCTAAACATGGCAAGCATTTCCTGTTGGTAATATGTGTGAAATGTTTCTCTTAGATTTAAACTTCCTTGAGTTACAATGACTTATGGGAGTCTGTGAATCCATCTCCACCTCCAAAAAGAAGTTTGTGCAAAATTAATCTGTGTCTTTAAATCTGAACAAATCGCCCACTGCCTGTACAATTGGAGATGGAGCAGGTCTTTCTTCATCTGTTTGTGGGCAAGTAAATGTAGCTGTAGCCTCTGGTGAGTCACATTCTGACACATCTGATTAAATATGTTTTTTTCTAAAGAACTAGAAGTATTTAAACTGACATTTTGAAACCCTTTTCTTGAGCCTGTTTTCTCCTACAGTATGAACAGTAAGGAGCTGTACCACATGGTGCTGTGCATACACATGGTGTTGAGTGGGCGGCTGCAGCAGGGAGCAGGGTTCCTCTGGTTTCTATGGTTTAATGGGTTATTTTACTCAACTTTCATTTTATGAAAATGTGGCAATGAAGCAATTTTCCCATTTTGGATCTTAGCCATAGTTCAAGACACAGAGGTCAACCTGATGACTTTGTGTGACTGACTGGACTGAAAGTGATGGAGTTTTTTGGGGGGAATTACATCCACATTCTTCAAAATACTCCTTACTATTAACTTGGATGAAGGAGATTTCTTCTACATGTGTTCCTTGCCTCTCCAACATGTTTGTGCTGTGGAAGGGTTTTATTGCCTTCTCTGTCTCTCATTCATGTTCTCAACACCTTTCTCTTGCTCATCCACACACACACACACATTGCCCCAGACACTCTTAACGTGTGCTACTTTCTATTCGCACAGGGAGTTGGAGCATGGTGAGGGAGAGAGAGACTTACATATGAAAAGACAAAAATACATCCCTCCTGTCCTCCTAATCTCGCCATCATTAACTGAGTGTGTCCTGACCTGTTTCTTTTTTGTTTTTCCCTCTCACCTCTTCTCTGGTATATTAAGCCAGTGTGCACACCGCCCCCTTCTACACCGGTGCCTGATACTGCTGCTGTTTGCAATATCATTTCAGCTCTTCATCCTCCCTTTTTCCATTTCTCTCTTACATATACATCCAAGCTTTCAACTCTCTTTCTTACACACACACACACACACACACACACACACACACACACACACACACTCCGAGTGCTTTTAAACCCACCCACTTGCACCCAGACATCCTCATAGTTCACTTTATGCGAGCACTCTTGAGGACACTTCACACCTTCTTCGTAGCTTTAAATCCGTACTCTGAGACACACACACACACACACACTTTCTCTTCTTATGCGCACATCTTTCCACACACACATGCACACCTACTACATCAACAGTATTCACTCACAACTCTGATTTCTACTTCGTAATCGCTGCTAAAAGCAATTCACCTACTCAAAAACAAAATGCAACACCCGCTCACTTGAAGAAACACACACACACACACACATCTTCCACGGTCGCCTGCGAGCTATGCAACAATGCTGGTTCCAAGGCAAAGGATTAAGATCGCGCTGCCTCTGTGGATGCCTGTTCTGATGCTCAGGATTGTGATGGCTCACACTCTGGTACAGTATGAAACACGCTCACTTCAACCCTATTCATCCACTTTATGGAACATAACCAAACACTGCCCGACTTCATTCTGTTTACTGGAGGACCTGAGACATGTTTGTGAACTGGTTGGAGACATGTTTGTGAACTGGTTGGAGACATGTTTGTGAACTGGTTATAGACATGTTAGTGAACTGGTTAGAGACATGTTTGTGAGCTGGTTATAGACATGTTAGTGAACTGGTTAGAGACATGTTTGTGAGCTGGTTAGAGACATGTTTGTGACCTGGTTATAGACATGTTAGTGAACTGGTTAGAGACATGTTTGTGAGCTGGTTAGAGACATGTTTGTGAACTGGTTAGAGACATGCTTGTGAACTGGTTATAGACATGTTTGTGAACTGGTTAGAGACATGTTTGTGAACTGGTTAGAGACATGTTAGTGAACTGGTTAGAGACGTGTTTGTGAACTGGTTAGAGACATGTTAGTGAACTGGTTAGAGACATGTTTGTGAGCTGGTTAGAGACATGTTAGTGAACTGGTTAGAGACGTGTTTGTGAACTGGTTAGAGACGTGTTTGTGAACTGGTTAGAGACATGTTTGTGAGCTGGTTAGAGACATGTTAGTGAACTGGTTAGAGACATGTTAGTGAACTGGTTAGAGACATGTTTGTGAGCTGGTTAGAGACATGTTAGTGAACTGGTTAGAGACATGTTTGTGAGCTGGTTAGAGACATGTTAGTGAACTGGTTAGAGACATGTTAGTGAACTGGTTAGAGACGTGTTTGTGAGCTGGTTAGAGACGTGTTTGTGAGCTGGTTAGAGACGTGTTTGTGAGCTGGTTGGAGACATGTTTGTGAGCTGGTTGGAGACATGTTTGTGAGCTGGTTAGAGACATGTTTGTGAGCTGGTTGGAGACATGTTTGTGAGCTGGTTGGAGACATGTTTGTGAGCTGGTTGGAGACATGTTTGTGAGCTGGTTAGAGACATGTTTGTGAGCTGGTTAGAGACATGTTTGATAGTGGTTGCTGAATGAAATCTCAGATGAGTGCTGCAATGCTTTAATGCAAAAGACTTGTTGAACTATTATACTGTATTTCCTAATAATAAACTAGCAGTAGGAGAGTTTTCGTCACCTCCTGCAGGATGTCATTGAGATTCATATAGAAGTGACCTTTGGACTTCAGTGAGAAACTTCATTTTAGTTCTTATGAAATCTCATCTTTGTTCAGAAGAACCACATATCACTCTCTTTCTTTCTACTCAGAAAAGTGTACGTCATTGCATTTCAGGAAAGTCCAATCTGTCCCTCTCTGAACCTTTCTGTATTTCTTTACTTAAAGTTATGAAAAATGTAAATGTATGAATCGCTTTATATTGCCAATGTGTGAACGGATTATATCGTTACTTAAAAACTAAGACGTTCTCCGACAGATGTTAAGAGTGTCTTGTGGCTCTTCAGCTCCGCTATAGTGTGTGTGTGTGTGTGTGTGTGTGTGTACAGCTAAGTTACAGCTAGCTGGCTAACCTTAGCTTGCTAAGTGGATGTGTTTGTCAATGGCTAGCTTGCCATATCACTTCAGCAGCTAACATATTACATTAAACAAATTTATGTTTTATGACTAATGGTGTTGACTTCAAGTATATAACTTCTACTAGCCAAGAGCAATGGAAGGCAGGGTCAACTAACTAGCTAAATCTTACCTAAGGTTAGCCAGCTAGCTGTAACTTAGCTATGCAGCATGGATCTTGAGTTGGCTGCTTCATAATGTTAGCTGATGAACCAATTTGCCAAAAATATGATGTTTTACTTTAATGTAACACCGCGTCACTGTTTGGGCCGATGGAGTGCGAGTGTGAACAACAGGATGCTGCAATTCACTGAACAGCCACCAGTGTCATTAGTAACAAGGGTTTTTCTGATATTCCTGATAGTATCTCTACACTTGCTGTTATTTTGATTATTTTCTGTATTATTGTTTCTTAGCTTTAAAAGGCTGTTATGATTATGACCTAAGAATTGAACCCTCTTTGCTTCTGCTTGTCAGATAACATCTGAGTAACAAAATTGACTTGTGATGACAACTCGAAGACAGTTGGCAGAATGCTGCTGCATGCAAGTTAGTGTATTATGAATAGTAGAGAGATGCTTTATGTACGAAGAAGTGTCCAAACATTGAAACACACTTAACTGTTTGGGTTTGCACTCATTTGATTCATTTCTTTATTACCTTTTTTTTTTTGGGGGGGGGGGGGGGGGTTAAAGTAGTGCTGATTGTGTGCGTTTGTTTTGTAGATCCAGGGTTCCATTCGCCCCCACGCCATCATCATTCTGCCAAACAGCGCTGGAACAGAGGTGCTGGTTTGCTATGAGGATGAGGGCGTCTACATCGACACCTACGGCCGCATCACCAAGGACACGGTGCTGCAGTGGGGGGAGATGCCTGCGTCGGTCGGTAAGTGTCACTCATCGTTGTGACTTACTGATTCTAGATCAGCAGCTCACCCGAGCACTGCGAACCTACCCTGAACCAGATTCTGTGATGACGGATTTGGGACACGGTGGGCTAAAAATACGATGGTAGTGATTCTGTGTGTGTGTGTGTGTGTGCGTGTGTGTGTGTGTGTGTGTGTGTGTGTGTCTCCAGCCTACCTTCAGTCTAACCAGGTGATGGGTTGGGGAGAAAAGGCCATAGAGCTGAGGTCGGCCAACACAGGGAACCTGGAGGGAGTTTTCATGCACAAAAAGGCCCAGAAACTCAAGTTTCTGTGTGAAAGGAATGACAAGGTAGGAGTTCAAGTCTTTTAAGATTTGCCTTTAAATATCTGCTTAAATGCACAGCTGTATTAATAAAAAACGCGTAGCATAATTCCTAAACCTGCGTCTCTCTCCGGTTGCAGGTCTTCTTTGCCTCCGTGCAAGCAGGAGGCAGCAGTCAGATTTACTTCATGACTCTGGGACAGAACTCACTGTTCAATTGGTAACGACTGGACCTGTTACTCTGGGATCAACCGGTGGTGTCTGGCTTCATCATTCTGGGGTTTTCCTGGCGATGCCTTTTTCATATTTGCACCATCTGATGCTCATCTCCGTGGATACTGGACCCCAACCAAAGATCACCGAAATATTCCTGGATGCACAGATGAGTTGATCACAACTCCAGCTTGAATCCATCTCTTTACCCTTGAATACTGCAGCGACACCAAAACCTGGACCCTGAAGTTCACCGCCGCCTCAGCCATCCACGCAAGTGCTAATAGGTACAACTAGCAGTGTCGCCATCCGTAATGTGAAGAGCACACAGAGGAATGTTCTCATGCCTGATCTCCATAGTTACCCCTGGAGTCTTTCCCAGCAGGATTCAGGATGCAGAACCAGCACCAGCACCAGCGTGACAGAAGTAAAGACTCCCACCGTGTCCCGTTTCATCCAGATCGACCTGGAAGCAAAAACTGATTGAGTTGATTGCGTGGCAACTTCTAATGAACACCAGTGAACATCTGGACTCAAGATCTCGTCCCTCCTACTCTCATCTGTGAGCACTGAAGTCCACAGTTCAGTTTGTTCCACATTCAGCTCACATCTCTCCCACTTCAGTTAACCCTATTTTGTTCTTTTCTCTAAAGGAAATCAGTCGCTCAGCTATTTATGTCAGTTCTTCACTCATATTAGCTTTAACAAGGCCTGGCTGTGGTGTGTTACTGGATCGACTGAATCATCTGATGAAGTCTTGTTCTCCCAGTACAGACCAGAGCTGTCCAGCTGTATGTCTGGTTTGTCTTCATGTAAGCAAACTGTGTTCAAATAGAGTGAAGTCCTTCATTCACTCCATGGACATCATCTGGGCCGGGACCTAAATGTGGACCAAGTAGGACAACTAGTCCAATTCATTCCACGTATCGTCATAACTGCTTGCCATTTCTCTCCTAATGATTCTTTGATCAATTTCCATATCCATGAACCACCTGTGTCTGCAATACCTCAGCAGTGTTAGTCATGAAGGCCTTCAGTAGTGTTCTCTCCTTCACTGCTACAAGCAGACACCAAGGACCCAAACACATTAGTCAGTTACTGTACTGAATCCCTATTCTGTTGATTTCCATATCCTATTATTAGACAGTGTTATTATATGCACTATCAAATGTTATATTATTGAGAGGAGAGTTCCCTTTTTTCTTGACTGAGGTTATGTTTAACTGTCACTATACCATCCACGTGAGCCTTATAATAAGGCAAAATGTCATGAAGAATTGAATCACTGTCGTTTAGACAGCGTTCAATAACTTTAGGCTGTTCATGATGTCATCCCTTGTTATCACCTGGAAGTCCATTTTTCTCCGTGTCGAGCCTGAAGTCAGTTGGCAGTTGAGCCTAAATGATATCTTGGGATACTTGCTGCATTGCACACTTTGCATTAAAATGATTTGAGTAGGTGTTTTTGCAACATAATTTTAAAACAGTTTGATAATTCTCTCCTCCACACATCTGGACCATGTCATTTTATTTTGTGTCATTCCATCATAAGTAGAGATATAACTCAGCTCCACCCTAACAGGCTTAGAATTATTCTCTGCATCTATTTTGTACAGCTTTGGATGTCTATATTCTTGTAAGATGCACTGTTTTCTAAATATTTGATATGTATGTGTACAGAATTATGATCAGGCTTATGAATGTGAAACTCCATCCATCCCAGAACAGAGGTCCTAACGTGTTGTTTTTACGACCTATGAAAAGAACAAAAGTGGTTGTGAACATGAACATGAGCTGTTGACGGGGATCAGGTCATGTATCATATGAATTTCTGTCTGGCTCTTTGCACACTGGCCACATTGTACATGTTCTCTGTAACATACCCTTCTTTGAAATGACTTATTTTTTGTTTATTTTTTGGTGTTAAAGTGGAAACATTTCATGCCATTGTGTAGTCAGTATTGAAGATATAAATGCTTTGGATCAGTATTTCTCACACTACCCATCATGGGACTCCCACACTTTGTAGTTTATTGTAGATGTGATGAGATGCAATGATCTGGGCCGTTGTACAGTTTGTTTCTGTTACACAAAGAGCGTCAAAGCAAGAGAACCAAAGATAAAGGCTTTGATGTATTGGCTCCCTTGAATCCAACCGTGTAACTAATCACAACTGACTGGTTTTGAAAGTTCAATGTATATATTATTATACACTGTACAAAAGATGCCAACTAGACCAACACATCAGACACAACGATGGGTCTCGCTACATCACAACAAAAATATATGCAATTTAATGTTGCTGGTGTTCATATATTTAATATCTTACATGTATGCATTAGAGAGGGCTGCAGTGAAGAAATAATAGGTTTTACCTTCAAATGTGAATTTGCAACTTGTCCATTTCCGATCCGTTTTCATTATACTCTTTCATCCATCAGATTTTGTTCATCTTCGTTATGTTTTATGTCACATTATCCTCATATCTCATATTTACTCTTGAATGTTTGCGCCAAATGTTTTATATTCAGTGATACTTTGAGTTTTTTTCTACGGACTTGATAGAAATATTGCAGCTGGTTCTGTGAGCATATTCTAAACTGGAAAATGAACTTTCTGGCGATGGCTGTCTCATTGCTAAGTTGTTACCAAATTTCACACAGTGTTAGTTTAATGGTGGGAAAGTGAGAAACCAGAGCGGATAGACCATTAGCATGGCTACAGTGCATGGAAATACAGGAGGGCAAGCTAATGTTAGCAGGCTAGCACACCTAAAGTTGATCGCTAACAGTGGCTAAACATTAGCTTACATGCTAGCTAACATGGCTAAGATAGGAGAGAGGTTTGGCTAGCAGCTACAAAATACTTTCTCTCTTTATATGCAGTTGCTTATCTGTGTGTAAAATGTGACACAACTGTATTTCAAACACCGTAATTCAAGACATGTCAAAAGATATTTTTCCAAAAACATTGATTTCAAACGTATTTTTGTGACGCTGGAAGGGAGTTTATCCCCATGCGCAGCTGATAGCAACTGCAGTTAAATGTGATTAAAATAACGTCACTTAAGACACAAGTGTTGGAATTGTTATTTTAAAGTCCTCACATAAATGCGTTCAGATATCTTGTGAATGACATCAGACACTGTGCTAGCTCGGGGTCAGCTCAGCACAGACAGGTTTGGCCAGGTTCCTGACCCAAGACCCTGGCCATGACAGTCCAGACAGGACCGGAGACTAAACTACCACAGTGGTTCCACCTTGTGTTCAGCTCCAGCTTACATTTACACAGAGAATGTACAGTAACCATCTACAGTAGCTAGCCTGTATGTGCTGCACTCCACTATCCAGCACGCTCTCTCACAGATGTCTGGTGGTCAACAGTACATGTTAGCACAAATTAGTCCTTTCATTTTAATCAGCCTTTTGATTTCACTTTTTCATCACAAAGTCCGAATGTGTGCGAATGTCGTCACAGTCAGATTCCATCTCCCTGCTTTCTAAAGCAGCAATGTAAATGTTTGAGCACCAATGGTTATGCAGTTATATAGCTACCATCAGATGAGGTGTAATTTGGCAAATTTATGAATTCAGTCTTGTAATGTGTGATATATGAATTTAGAAAAACAGGTTGCTGCCCTTATACTGTGGAGTTTAAGCTGAGAACAAAGGTTACATTGTTTGATTGGTAAGTCGATGTTCTCTGCATTGTTTCACTTTAAAGCCCGTACTCTAAATGTGCCGGCTGTCCATTCATGTTTCCTCTGCTTCGTTCTTCATCCTGCTGTAAGAAACAACATGGAAGTCAGTTCTGTCCCATCGATGCACTAACGAGACAGAGAGATCAGCGCGCCTCCGCCTACACCTTCCACCCGGTTAAGACAATGATAGATTCTGTTTCAGACCCGCAGTGACTCACATCTCTTCTTGTCAACACGTCTCTTTCATTCCCTCTGCATCTTCTCTTGCTCTCGCTAACATCTTCCACCATTCTACAGCTGTTTGTCCTCATGTGTCACACTCTCTGTGGCTGTCCATTGTCTCTCCATCCACCACCAACCCTGTTAAACAGTCATTTCTTTCATGTGAAACATACCATTACCCACCTATATTCCATCAATTACATACTTAAATACTGTTTTTTCCTGATTGGTGGGATGAAGAGCGATGCAGATAAAACGCTAACACAACGCAGCTTGGATTTGAGGCACAACGACTGCAATGATGTGTTAAAGCACGACTATGTAACTTTGGCTGAACTGTGACTACAAAACAAACGGCATAATCATAGCACAAATTAAAAAAGACACATACAGTAAAGTCAGTGAAATAGCTATCTCAAGCTTGCTAACATTAGCCACCATTAGCCTCTGGTCATACCAGACCAGGTACGGCTAAAGAGACAAAATACCTGAGTATTCTAAAGGGAACCAGGGTGCGTCAATTTGCTTATTAATTAGAGAAAGAAAGCCTTATTTCTGCTTTCGAGAGATCGTTCTGTGCTGCTGCCGTTATTGTTTTCAACCTGTGTAGGAAATAAAGTCTGGATGAGCTTTGCAGTTCTGAAGAAAGTGTGTGTGTTTATGTGGGAGGGTGTGATGAGATGGGAACAGGTGTTCAGTAAGCAGTAAATTCAGTCTGTAGGGGAAGGAAGGCCAGAGTTAGAGGAGGTAGTCGGTGGCTGGAGTCAAGTGTCGGTTCACAGAAAGAACATGGAGGTTGCTTTGAATATTTTTTATTGATTAGTTCTTTGCTCATCGAAAGAAAACGGTGGGGGGGGAGAAGGCGAAGCAATTCATTTAATCTGCTAACAGATGGGCCCGCTCTTCACCAGAGGGCGCCGAACTGCACATGTGCAGCAAGGATTTGTACATGATGGTTATGATGAGGCGAAGGAGGTAAGGATGTGAGGGAGTGTTGAGTGATATTTGCCAAACGTTTATAGATTCAGCCAACAGTTCATAACTACTGTCAGTTTATTGTGGATGAGCTTGATAAAGTTACTCAGCTCTGCAATATGGAGTTTTCAAGCCATTCGACACACAGGACAGTTCTGTTCTTATAAGTTGTAAATTCTAAAGACACCAAATATTGTATAGATGAATATATATTTAAGAGTTTGTACTCCCCTTGACCATGTCATTTCTTGCATACTTAGTTTTTATTCTGTGCACTGGACCTATGTTTGATGCATCGTGTACTGTACCCCTCCTGCTTTGAGATGAGAGACAATAAATATGATAAGCGGTGTGCTGTTGTTTATTCTTTCCCACATCTTTATTTCAGAATACGGAAGCCTTGAATCCAGTCACCTTCTGAAACACCGTGGTCTGCTGAAAACTTGAATCCTTTGTCATTGTGACAAAGGATTGACCTTGTTGGTGTTGTTTAGATTTCCTAACAATGACACGCTGTACTTTTTCAGTGAAATGTTCTATTCAAAGCTGCCTGTTATCATTCTGGCAGTACAAACAAGACCGTACAATGTGATTACATGTTGTTAGGAAAACTACTTATCAAACATATTTCTAAACCTTCCATCCTCAAGGATTTTTATGGAGGGGATTGTAGTTTTCTATTACTTTGGTCAGAGAAGGCTATCAAGTGAAAGGTCAGACTTTCTACCCACTAAGTCAGGGGTCTTCAATGTTTTTCAGGCCAAGGACCCCCAAACTGATAGAGAGATGGAGCAGGGACCCCCGACTATATATATTGTATAAAATTGTGTTTTATATTAAACTGGGCCTCGTGCCATGTATAAACATGCCTCTTTAGTGTGCATTCAATACTAAGCTATTCAAATAATACACAGGTTCATATATTCATGTTTTTATTTTAAACATGTGCAAGGTACAGTGAGTAGGGTGACTGTGCCACTGCCATTTGTAAACATACCTTGTCAGCTGATACCAATGCCAATATCAACATTGTCTGTCAATTGGATGATGATCATGCATACAAGCTATTCAAATTGACGTTTTTATTTTAAACATAAATGTGGAAATGAAAATGAGTGATGGCCTATTAGTGCCACTGCCATGCATAAACATACCTGTTATCTTTCATACAATACTGAACTATTAAAATAATGGACAGATTCATGTTTGGGGGGGGGGGGGGGAATAAAATAAAAAAACGGACTCCCTGTTGAACACCTCTGCTCTAGGTGATGAAGTTACTCTGGAGATGAGGACATTCTGGTGCTGAGGATACACTGGGTTATGAAGATACTCTGTTGATGAGGATAATATGGTGATGAGGATACTCTGGTGGTGAGGATAATCTGGTGATGAGGATAATCATCTGGTGATGAGGATAATCATCTGGTGAAGAGGATAATCATCTGGTGATGAGGATACTCTGGTGATGAAGATACTCTGGTGATGAAGATACTCTGGTGATGAGGATACTCTGGTAATGAGGATACTCTGGTGATGAAGATACTCTGGTGATGAGGATAATATGGTGAGGAGGATACTCTGGTGATGAGGATACTCTGGTGATGA